CAGGAATGAGACCACAGATCGAGAGGTGTGTGTCCCTCTGCTCCCCTGCCCGGTCCCTGCTGAGTGCTAGGGAAGGGGAGGGAGGTAGGGTGCAACAGTGGGGCATGTGGAGTTCAGCTCCACTGCTCCTCTGGAGCACTCAGAGGAGACCGTCTACGTGTTTGAGGTGATCAAGGAAACTTGGTTTAATAGTGAGACGAGACGGAGCCCCTTGGAGTAAAACACTCTATGGTCAGGTCGGCCTGTGTCTGGTGGTTAAGGGAGCCAGATTCCACTTCCTGACTGTGGTCTGTTTCCTGGCCCTGATGGCTTGTGAAACGCAGCAGACCCGTGTGTGTGTGCCCCAAATTCCGACAGGATGCAGAAACGGAGAAGGGATTGCAGTGTGCGCATGCCCCTGGAAAGTACTTTCTTTCTCTCCTTTTTCTGTCTCTCTGTCTTTCTCTGGCAGGTGTATGTGCCCTTTGGCAAAAGCAAAAGAAAATACTCCATGGTCCACATTTGGGTGAACACGAGACCCTGATAACCACTCAGGATCAATTCTTGGGTCTTTCAGAATCCTGGGTTTGCCCTATTGCAAACCTGCCCCCTTTAGGCCCCTTGAGACCTCACAGTGACTTTGAGGGGTTGAGTTGCTAAGAGATAGAGAAGGCAGACCTTGGGGAAATGAAGGAGAGAGTAATTTGGAGCATTGAAAGAGAATGAGAGAAGCTGCCAGAGAAGAGCAGAAAATGGCCAAGGGAGGGGGGGAGAGAGAAATGGGCTGTGAAAGACAACAAAAAGCAAAAAGATGAGCAGTGGAGGAGGAGGGAGAAGGACGGAGGAATTCCAGGAATAGAAATCAAAAGGAAAGAACTGTCTTCACGCAAAGTTATATTTAAACACAATTTCAGATTTGCTTGTCAAAATGCCACGGATCAGAATCGGGCTGGTGTCTCTCTCCTTCACTTAATATTGTTTTTAGGAATGGTATCTGTGGTTTTCACCTGCTTGACTTCACTTTATTCTCCAAGGCCTCTCCTACTGCAGACAAAATGCCACTTCCCCGTCTGGCCCTGTAGCCCAAAGCTAGAGCTTTGCATCTTGACAGCTGCTCCCAACCCTTGGGCTACTCATTTTCCTTCGGGAGGAAACAATCATTCTTTGCCATAGGGCATATGCACTAATTGGAGAGAGAAGGAGAGAGAGAAAGAAACAGTGAGAGACAGTGAGAGGGAAAGTGAGAAATCACTCCCCAGGGGAGATGGCCACGCTCCAATCCATTCTCCTTCTGTGATTTTGGGCACGCATGTACATGCACCCAGTGTGATTTTCAAGCTGCCAGATCCAGGATTCAAACTATGATTATCCATGTGGAGAGTCCAGTGCTTTAACCACCATGCCAACTGCTGACCCCCAGGAGACAATTGATTCTTAGGAAATGAAAAACAAACAAAACAACCCTACTAAAGCACCAGTATTCATATGGTACATAACCAGATACACAGCATTATCTGGGCGCTATAATTTCTTGGATATAGGAAATAACAATTAGGAAAACAAAATGCGAAAAGGCTGCTTAGGGACAGCAATAATGGAAAAGGTTGAGAAACGCTGTCTTAGGCTGATGTATTTCTTATGCAAAATCGTGCCTCTGTGGTGTGTACAGTGAAATACAGGTCTAGTCTGGAAGTGGTTGGCCTGCTGTCTCTGCTGCTGGGGACTCTTTCAGTTTCTCTGTTTTGGCTTCCTGAAAATGGAGCCACGCATCGCTTCACCTACATGGTCCCTCTACACACCACCAGGAGCTGACAAAAATAGAAGCAATGATCACTATTGTGTTTTTTTATAAAAAGAAACCGATTGAAGCAGAGCACAGTGTCTTCTGAAAATGTTGGGGAGAGAAGGGTCATCTCTGTTTTACTTTCTGGAAAATAGGCCTTTAATAAACACTACTTGTTGATGACATCAGTGGTGGAGAAAAGAGAAGCCGCAGCTGTCTCTTGCAAGTCGGGTGTGTCTTACCTCGGCCCTGGTCACGATGATGCGGATCAGTGTCTCCTCGTCAGTCCCTGCGCCCTTCATGGACTTGTACAGGCGGTCAGCAAAATAGCCCTCGCGGTCCCGGGCACATCTCACTGGGTAGGACGAGGGAAAAAAGCTTTCAGCTTTTATTGAATACCATGGAGGCCCTCTGAAGAAACAGAGGTGGCTGAGTGTCTCCTGGCTGCCCTTGGAGCTAACCGAGTTGTGAGGCAGAGGTCTGAAAGGAGCTAACTTCACCCTATTGTGGAATGTGATCTAGAAGATTACTGGGTCAGGGCAGCTGGGCTCTTCAACCAGAGCTGGGTCAAAATCACTTCAGATGGATAAGAGGACCTCCTGGTCTTTGCAGACCTCCCAGAGCAGAAGACCAATGGCTCTCCTCAGTGTCTCCCTGCAAAATGAATGATCTCACCAACAGAAATAACATTTTACTGGGGCTGGACAGTGGTGCAGTTTTAAAACAATGCTCTGTGGGGCAATCCCACACAGGAAGGTTCTTGGTTCAAGGCCAGAGACCTTCTTGAATATGCCGGGCATGTGTGTGCCCATGATCTGGGGCTGGCCAAGGCTGGGGTTGGATTGCAGCATCAATACCCTGTTGGGGGTACTGTCTGTCTATCTCTCTTTTCTTACTCATAGAAGAAATTAAAAAAAAAAAAACCAAAAACCAAAAAACCTTTTCATGTCTAAATGAAATCTCTCGTACCAGAGTAGGGTTCCAAGAGAAACACTGATTGGGCAGCAATCTTGCTGTAATAAACTTCATAATCTTGAAGGTCTACTCAGACTGTGGGCTAATTTCTTGTGTTAAATAACCTTCCTACCCTTTGTTTTTCCTTACTAGGCTTGACTCATGAGCCTCACTCTGAACCTCTTCCAAGTGCCTCAAGATCTTCTTAGTCTGGAATGTGAGCTTGATGAAATGTTTCTAAAGATCACCTTCTTCTGATGTTGTCATTCATTCTTCTACCACTACCCTGCCCCCCTTGCCTGCCAGCTTTGATCTGTCTACAGATTCATGAAGTGTTTCTAGTCATCAACCAGGTGAGGGGGCACATCTCTGTTCCTGGGGATCAATTGTTACTCCTTTGGACAGGTGGCATGGTGGTTAAGGTGGCTGAACTCTCACATGGCTGACTATAGTTTGAGTCCTGGACCTGACAGCTTGCTTTTTCACTTTCCTTCTCTCTCTCTATCTCTCTGGTCAACTTAAAAAAAATAACGACAATGAATAAAATGGAATAAAATAATTCTAAAATAATTATGGGTTTATTTTGATGCAAAAAATATAAAATCCATGTATAGTTTCTTTGCTAATATGCATTTTTATAAACTTTTGGAAGACCTCTTGTACTTGTGTAGTTTATTTTCAAGGGCTTTCCTAATCAGTTTTCCTTTCACTATTCTGGAGTACCCCCAACTCCTGTAGCTCATGGTCCCCAGCTCCAAGGTCTTGGCTTTTTCTTCCTCTGTATCTTTCTTGTGCTATTAGTTTTCATCTTTACCATAGCCTAATCTGGTATGTGCATTCACCATGGACTTTTATGCTCCTTAAGAGAAAGAATGGAGTCTTATTTTTTACTTCTGATCCTCACACCTAGCACAATCCCTGAACCCAAGAAGATACTGAGTAAATGCTACATAGTCGAGTGCCTGTACTACCATTTTCTGACTGCTCTGGTGTGTTGCTGACTTTCACTGTATGAGTACAGCTAGGACTTTGAGACTCAGAATGAAGCCAGGAGTTGATGCCTCCTTCTACTTTGAGAATCCGCCTTTGAGCCCTCAGGACAGCCATCCATGCTAGGACTCCTGTGCGTCTAGTGTGGATCATGAGTGTCGCTAAGGCACGCTTAGGGCTCCATCTATCACAGTAGAGAACCAGCTCACTTGAATGTGAAATGAGGATGGACTAAAAAAATAAAAATCAATTACTGACATTGTTTTAGGATAAAGACATACACACACAAAAAGTTTGGCACCTGGAGTACATTTTTTAAGTTCCAGGGCTGCTGCTTCAAGTCATCCTTTTCTTTTTGGGGATACGTCTCTGCATTTCTTATGCCCTTTGGGATGGTGCCTTGGCTCCTCACCATAGGAGTATGGACAATGGACAATGCCTTCTTTCCAGAACTTGCGAAAAGAAAAAGGGAGTCTGCCAGAATTTGCTCCGTGCTGTTATCTTTGCTATTTCCTGCCTTTGGGCAACACCTGGAGAGAAGGTCTTAGAATTTGGATGGTTGGTTGTCAAGATCTGGGCTCCCTTCCCTCTCTTTCTAAATAGGTCACATTCTTTGCAAATAATGAAGAGGACCAAACAGACAAAGAAACCTGCAAGCAATAGGGTATGTGCAAAGCTTGTCCATGGGTCCTAAGCGTGGGTGCTTCTGAGTGTATCAAAGAACCACCTACTGCTGCCTGAGATTAGATAATAGTCTCTGGCTGTTGACTGATGCTCTCATGGACCCAGAATCTTAGCAGGACTGTAGTGGACACTGTAGTGTATCACCCAGATGCCTTCTTTGAAATTGAGGCACTCATTCCAAGGGTTGCTTGCTCCCAGCTGAGTCCCTCTTCAGGAATCGTTCTCTAAGTGAGAGAGGTGGCTTCCCAAGGTTGCAAATGCTCCCTGGGGGCACCAGAATCCACTGGTTGACATGGACTGCAGAGACCTGGCCCCTTTGCTTGGCTTTGCATCTCCCAGTGTCAGAGCTCTCTGTAGACCAGCAAGATCTCTGCTGTATTTGCATCACCTTCACTTTCTCCCTTATTTAACGCTGTTTAGATATGGTCCTAAAACTGTTCCCTAAAATTTTCCCACATGCAAACCTGTATCTCTGAGCCTGGTTCTAAGAAGTCTGACCTAAGACAGGGACTCCCCTAACTTGGCCTTACCGAGAGTTAAATAGGCCTTCTGCAAATCTCCAGATGTTTCCTCTTCAATAGCTTCTTCCATGTCTTTGCCGATGAGCTGGAGAGACAACCAAAGCCCAGCTGTTACTCAGACCTTTCTTTTGACCTTGCCACTCAGGCTATTTCCCCCCTAAAAACACAAAACTATTTAAATTTATCCCTGTGCCTTTGTGGAATTCCTATCCTGCTTCTTCTTTGGCCAGGCTTGGACATTGCCACCCATTCACCTACTCAAGAGGGGGCTCTGGCAGTGGAGGAGCTAGTCCAGATCTGAGTCTAATTAGAGTCACTCCCATGGCTTCAATTTCTTCGCCGATAAATTAGGGAGTGAAGAAGCAATTAATATATGCTATAGCAATAATTCTTTACATTTATACAGTGCTTTGGTTTCCAGTGTGTTTTTATTTTAATTCTTTCCAGTTCTGGTTTCCTAGAAGGCTGTGTTGCAGTGATCCAACCTGCGCCTCCCTTTGCTGGGACTAGAGACTCCGCTGCTTAGTTTGGATGAAGTAAGTAGAGAGTGTGAAGTTCATGATAAGGACTTGTTCCAGCGTTCTTGACAGAGTAGGGCCACAAGGGCAGGAAGCTGGGGGGCTGACTATGTCCATACCCCATTTTCCTTCACTCTGGGGTGATTGCAAACCGTGGTGTATTCACCACTGGCTCACATGTCCCTCTGCCTAGCATTATACATTGGGTTTCTTTCCAAATATTTACAGAAGTTGAAGTTCAGAGTAAATCGTGACTATCCTTAACACAAATACTGCCTGAGCCAAACTTTGCAGCAGGCAGGCAGAGAGCAGAGTGCTTTGCTGGATTTGGGGAAATGCAGTTAAACATGAGAAATACTGAAACTTCTTTCTTAGAAATTACCTTTGAGGACATGACACAATTGTTTCTACACATAATTGGGTCTGTTGAGTACATTCCAGTGGAGTTGATGTAGTTTATTTTGAAAATACAGGTAAACAAAATACTCTTTGTGATGTAGGCACAATGGATGTGAGGGAAGGAGGTCCGGATGTACTGAGGCCCTGGTGCCTGACCTCCTAGTCATCATCCGTGTATCCAGAGGCCTTGGTCTGTGGCAGTGGAGACCAGATTAAAGAAGAAGGGAACTGGGGTTGGCTTGTAATCCTGTCCCTTCCTTAGCTGTTCCCAGCCTTTCTTGGGTTTGATGGGAGTTGCTATGTCGGAAGGGACTGGTATCCTTATCCCAGAAACAAGGTTCTTATTCTGAGATTGAGACTGAGATTGCATTTCAAGAGGACCTTTTGTTTACATATGTCTGTGTTTGCTTAAAAAAAAAAAATCCTAACATTAAACCACTTTCTGTTCCTATTGTTCATAGCCACCCGGAACAGTGTTTTTCAATGTCCTATAGATTCTCACCCTGCAGAACAGATGAAAGCAGAAAAGTGGGGTCTGTTCTGGGGAGGCAAGAGGTGGGCTCCTTACCCTGCCCCAGATGTTAGGCCTGTTTCTGCTCTCTCAGGGTCTTCCTTGCATGACTCCAAGGGGTGCTATTCACAGAGTACAACCAGAGGGTATCACCCTCTTCTCTTCCTGCCCCACCCTGCTCCTGGTAGCTGCTGAGGCATTTCCACAGGCCCTGTGGAACACAAGCTAAAAACAATTGGCCTGCGCTACTGGGACTCTGCTCTGCACGCCTTTCACTTCGGTTACAGGAACAGTTGATTCCTAGGATCTCTGATCTCAGTACAAAAACACATTATGAGGGTGGATTCTAAACAAGTCTCAAAGACTAGATAGACAGCTAGTTATGTCTGGAGCAGGTTCTTGGAAGAATAGTGAAGACATTGCTTTCCTTTAAAATCTATTCCTCCATGTTGGCTGAAAGCCAACAGCAGAGCCCTGTGTGTTTCGGCTTTGACCATAGGGTTGCAGGGGACAGGCTCAGGCCAGCAGATGGCATAGCAGTTGTGTCACTGGACTCTCACATGGCCAACTGTGGTTCGAATCCCAGACCCGGTGGCTTGAAAACCATGGCGGGCACTTGTACATGTGTGCCCAAGTTCTTGGGAAGAGAATGGAAGAGGAGGGATTGTGGCATGGCCATCGTCTCTGGGGGGTAATTTCTCACATTCCCTCTCGTTGTCTCAGTCTCTCTCTGAGCACAAGTGCCCTAAAGCTAACACCTCTAAAACAAAACAAAACAAAACAGGCTCTGGCATGGGCTACGGAACATGTGCAGGGGAGGGACGAGGGATAAGGCACATGCAGAGACGCTGGCCAGGCAGGCTGAATGTGCACCTACTGTTCATTCTGAGCCCTGTTTGGGGCACTGACTTTGGCTTTGTAATTATGCCATTTTTATACATTTGGTAAAGTTTGAGACTATAATAATCTTGTATGGTGCAGCAGTCTGAGGAATGTTGAGCTGGTATTACTTAGGGTGTCAGAAGTGAAGAGTCAGGCTAAGAAGGCAAATAAAGAGCAAAACTGAAATTTTGTGCTAAAAAAATCCAACTCTATGGCAGGACAACCTATGTTACATCCCACATACTGGTGATCTCACACTGGCATGCTAGCGGTTTCGGCCACAGACCATCAGAAATGTTATAGAACCTGGGTCCTAAGGGCAGGGCAAACTCTAGAAAATCCAAAATGAAGATCAAGGTGAATGATGCTCAAGCAAAGTTTTTGGGATAGATGAAAAGGTAGCACTTTGGAGCTGGTTTTATGTAAATTTGTAGATTTCCTTCCTGTCCATTGGAGTTTTAGCTCTGACATTTGGCACTGTTGGTTCATACAGGGAGACTCCTAGCAATTGCGAATGTTTATTAAGTGCCTACTGCATGGGTGCTTACTTCTGTCAATTCATTTGAATTAGAAACTTTTTTGGGGAAGGTCAGAGGGTGCATGCACTTGCCAAAAAGAGAGAAAGAGAGAGGAGAAAGTACCCCATGGTACCTTCCTGGGCTTCATGGAACACAATCCCCGGGGGGTGCTATCACACAGTACAATGAGATGCTATAGGGAGGCCACAATCCCTTCTCCCCCATCTCTCCCTCCTTTTGGGATTTTTGGGCACACAGGCACAAGCATCCAGTGTTTCTCTCAAGTCATCAAGTCTGGAATTTCAGCCATATGGTTGACCATGGATCCAGTTGTTCTAACCACCAGCCCATGGAACCAGCCTAAAGTAGGAACTATTGAGTGGTCAGAAAAGTCATGAAAATATTCTAAGCAAAAATACATTGTGACTTTTCTGACAACCCAGTATTAGTGTTCCTATTTTAAGTTCAGCAAACTGAAGCCCCAAACACTTAATAATTGGCCCAAGGCCACATAGTTAGTAGCTTAGAGTTGACTTCTCAAACTTTAACATGCATTGGAATCAACAGGAAGATTTGTTAAAACGGGGCTGGGGGACCAGCAGTTGGCATGATGGCTATGTCACTGGACTCCCATGTAGTCGACTGCAGTTCAAGTCTTGGACCTGATGGCTTGAACTCATGCTGGGCACGTGTGTGTGTGTTCTCAAAAATCCCAGGAAGAGAATGGAGGAGAAGGGATTGTGGTGTGGCCATCCTCCCTGGGGGAGTGATTTCTCGCTTTCCGTCTCTCTGTCTCTCTCTGTCTTTCTGGAGAGTGCACGTGCCCTATAGCAAAAACCTCTCAAAAAACAAAAACCAAAACAGAAACAGCAAAAAAGGAGTAGTAAGGACCCCACCACAGGGAATCTGATCTGGTGGGTCTGGAGGGGATTTTAGAGTTCTTGTTTTTAATAGGTTCTCAAGTGATACCAGTGCTGTTTGGAGAACAACTCTGAGCTACTGGCCTAGAGAGGGTCCTGGCAGGTAGTAGTGGTTTACACACACACACACACACACACACACACACACATACTTTCACATGTATGTGTGCTTCAACAGTGATTGTCAATGACAGCCCTCTCCAGAAACTCCCTTGGGGGCCCTCCCTGTCACGTGGAAAGAGGACCTCAGTCTCAACCAGGGAGAAGTCCTCCAGCTTGAGGCTGCGTGGCTCCAGGCACAAAGACCAGGGGACTGCAGGGTCAGCTGCCTTTGATCATGACTCTGGGCACGATTTGAAAGCAGAGGGCCCTAAAGGCTTATATACAGCAATGATAAAATTCCAAAACTTTATTGTCTTTTCATCTGCTGGCAACACATAGGAAATGCTATTTCGAGTGAGGAGCAGCCAGCTCCAGCGAGGTAGGAACTCCGGCCGGGAATCTTGGAGTTCTCATCCACTTTCGGCTACTGACTTGCTGTGTGGTCCTGATAAGTTACAGATGGTTCCCTCTCAGCAGACTTCCCTCGTCCAGCAATGCTGGGTCACCGTACTGCCCAGTGTACATGCTAGATACAGTGTTCTTGAGCATTTGAAATGCGAGGCAGGGCAAAGAAGTGTTTCAAATAGATACGAGCACTCTAAAAATATAAAATAAAGAGACCCTGCCCACCAAAAAAATCTGATACCCTAGAAAAGTCTTCTTGTAAGTCAAGACAGCTCTTCTGCTAAGTGCTACTAAGTGCTCTGTAGTAACTAGCTCATTGTGTCAATTTAAAATGATTGTGAGATTATAAGATAATTTAGGGGTCAGCAGGTGGTATGGTGGATAAGGCGCTGGACTCCCACATGGCGGACTGCAGTTCGAGTCTCAGACCGGGTGCCTTGCTTTCTTGCTTTCTTCCTCTGTCTCTGGTGAGCCCTCTAGCTCTCATGGACCCATTTATTTATTTTTATCAAATAATAAATAAAATGAATAATTATTAAAAATTGTTTACACACATCTTTTCTGAAAGCATATTCCTGGGGGGTGTCACATCTGTCTTGAGAGTTGTAGGCAGTGTTAGCCCTACTGTAAATTGCAATAATAATGAATGAGCGTGTATATGCTGACCACAGGCCAGATACTGTCCTGAGTCTTTAACCCTTCAGATAACTCCATGAGGGTGTGGTGGTGATGTTCATGGTCCTAGTACAAAAAGGAGGGAGGGATGTAGTGGTCACTTTCTGGTGGTAGAACCTGGAATTGGACCTGGAGCCTTTGACTCTTTTTATTTTTATTTTTTTGGAGAGGTTTTCACCATAGGGCGCGTGCATTCGCCAGACAGACAGAGAGAGACGTAGAGACAGAAAGCGAGAAATCACCCCCCAGGGGGGATGGTCACGCCGCAGTCCCTTCTCCTCCGTTCTCCTCTCGGGATCTTGGGCACGCATGCACTCTACGTGCATGGCATGAGTTTTAAGCCACCAGGTCCGGGACGCGAACTACACGGGAGTCCAGCAACATAGCCATTACGCTAACTGTTGGTTCCCAGACCCTTTGACTCTTGAGCTTGGCTCCTAAATACGACACCATTCTGCTTCCCTACCCTCTGCTGTCAAGCCGGCTTTCACTGGGCACTGTTTTGGGGCTGGGAGAGTCTTTGTGGGGGACTGTCCTTTGCATTGTAAGATGTTCATCGTCATCGCAGGCCTTGACCCACCAGATGCCAGTAACACTGCTCCCTCATCCTCCCAGCAGTGGCAGCCTCAAAGATTTCCAGACATTGTCTGGCATTGTCTGACATTATCCCTTGGGTGGCCCCCAATCGCCCCCAACTGAGCACCACTATTATGAAGGATCTTCCAGTTCCAAACCCAAGATCTCAGCTTCTTTGGGTAATAACTCAGGATCCATTTCCAAGCGACCCCTCCTGCCCCAGCACGGGTACTTACGATCTGATAGGCTTGAAAGGTGGCTCGTAACTGCTTGAGGCTCCTCTTGGCCAGGACCTCATTGAAGGCGAGCTCATCAGTGCCCCAGCGGCCTTCCCCTGCCTGAGGGTTAAATGCAAACATTTCGAAAAAGTCTTTTAGGAAAAGACTGAATATACAATGACACAACCAGTTCTCGCTCTACAGGAAATGATCAAATATAGACCAAATAGGAAGTCAACTGGATGGACTCAGCACTCTTCTAACCGTCAAGCATACTGTACAAACTTATGTATTTTAGTTACGTACTTCCTTATTCCAAATAATAAACGGACGCGGTGGCTAACTCCAGAGCACACAGATGGGGACGATTCTTTACGTGATGATCTATAAAGATCTGAGCGATCGACATCTCTTTCACTGTCGTTGCTAGAAGGCATGTGGCTCACCAGAGACAGAGGGAGAAAAGGAAGCTCCTCCAGGGGGTGTAGTCACGTCACAATGCCTTCTCCTCCATCTCTCCCTCCTTGTGGGATTTTGGGAATGCATGCATGTGTGACCTCAAGCTACAAGGTCTGCAACCTGAACTGCACAGTCTCACATGAGACCTGGCTGCCCTAACCACTAGGCTACAGAGCCAGCCCCGCATCTACTAAAGGTCATACTTCCTTCCTAAGAGACTCACATTTGCATGAAACAAACATTTGTTGGAAATAATGCTAATTAGGAAAAGAACTGGTGAAGACTGGCACATCCGCCCACTTACATCATACAGATCTTTGGCATCCTGACCAGCAAGGTCTTTGTCCACGTCATCTCCTTCATCACGATTAGCCTAGACAAATTGACACATTGTTATTAACTGGAGTTCCTGCCAGACCACAGAAAACAAGAAGAGAAAGTCCTGGAAAATGGGGGGTGGGGGAGAGAGTGGAGGGTTCTTATTTTAGAGGAGTGGCCTGAAACTTGGTTCAGCCCAGAGAAGGGAAAGAAGACCTGCTCTTTGCTGCCATCTTTTGGGTACAACTGATAAACAGAGCTTCTGGGATGACATGTTCTCTCCCTCTCTCCCTCTCCCTCTCCCTCTCCCTCTCTCTTTGGTAGAAACTGTGACTTCTGTCTCCAAGCAGGCTCATAGCAACCTCTGATGTCCTCTAGAGTGAATTCATTGTGAGGCAACCTGTCTTCCTTCCAAATGACCAAATGTCACTACTCAGGGTTCTAGTGCCAAGACCTTCCACTCCAACCCTGAGATTGGTCAGGGCGGGTCACAGAAGTCTAACATAAGCTCTTGTGGTGGGCAGATCATCCTGAGATGACCCCACAGCCCGTGCCCTTGTATAGTCCCCTTCATAGGTAAGCCCCATGAGTACAAGATTCTACTCCTACAATTACCCCGTTGTTGGATGGCAAGGGGATTTTTGCTGATGTAATTCAGGTCCTCAGTCAGTTGAGTTCGTAGACAGGGAAATTATCCTGTGTGGGCCTGACCTAATCAGATGAGCGCTTCAGAGGTCAGAGACAGAAAAAAGTCAGAGAGATGAGCTCCTACTGGCCTGGGAAAAAATTAGCCACATTGTGAACTGCCAATGGGACCATGTGGCAGGGAGGTGTGGATGGTCTCTAGGAACTGATATGGTCTCTGGTGACAGTGAGAAAACAAGGACATCAGGCATGCAGCCACAAGGAAATGAATTCTGCCAATAGCTGGTGAGTTTGGGTGAGGGCTCAGCTTTAGAAGAGGGCATCCCTAGCTGACACTGATTTTAGCCTGGTGAGACCCGGAGCATAAGAGTCAGCTAACCTCACACCTGGACCCCAACCCATAGAATCTATGAGCTAATAGATCTACGTGGTTTTCAGCTGCTAAGTTTATGGCATTTGTCACACCCTTCCTCTTGCAGGATAAGTCACCTCTTTTTGGTACTGTGCTGTCTATATTGGGGGACACAGACAGAGGAAACACACACAGCTCTCTCATGGAGATGGGTGTATCAGTGAGAACACAGATGCTGTCTGTCTGGAGGCCCAGGTATGGTGTCCTAGCAGGGCCAATTCTGAAAGCCCTGTTTTCCTGGCTGGGTTCCTTGCAGTGGTTTCGTACAGGCTTAGACTTGGAGTGAATCCTAGAAGTAAGTGTAGAGCTGTTTTGTGGAAAGTGTCCTGCTTGGGGTCAGATAGCCTGAGTCTTCCTCTTGGGCTGTGTTTAGTGGCTAGGTTACCCACCTTCTCAAGGGCTAAGTTTCCTCACTGGCAAAATGAAATAGCTATGTGTAATGAATTCATTAACCAAAAGGGATCGTAAACTGCAATGACTAGGCAGACCCAAAGATTACTTCCCAAGACCATAAAGGAGGTGAGACCTCTTTACTCTTACCTGTAGCAGGGACACCAGAATTTTTTTTAGATTTCCACTTGTATCATCTTTGACATCTGATTCAAGACTCCTGCCAAATACTTTTGAGGAAGCAAAAAGGAAGGGCGAAAGTGGGTGATTTAGTTTCCCAGAAGTATTTTGAAAAGGAGATACTTTAAAGCCCGAACAAGGGGTCACTTACATCTTTGGTAGGCCTCTTTGATGGCAATGATTTCCTAGGGAAGGTAATTAAAAAGAAAATCAATACTCCAAAAGGGAGTAATCAAGAACATAGTTGACATACAGAGAGAAGAGACAGAAGTCTGTCTCTGAACACAGCAGCCTTGGTGAATTCCTTCTGAGACGGAGCATATCCCTGGTGGTGTGAAGGGGACTCTGCATGCAAACATCACAGACACACAAGTACCCTACGCATACATTCTCCTTAGTAAAAAGAGAAAACACAACAGATAAACTTATACCTTTCCTCACCACTTCCTTGTGCAGTCTTATACCCCTAGCCCTGCCTGGGTAGCTAGTATTCAAAAATCTTCCCAAGAATTTTCCTTTGCATTTGTGTATTTTCTTTGCACATGGGTATTACTAAAAATATTAGTTTGTTGGAAAAGTCATGACTTTTCCAATGACCCAATATATAGAATCGTTTTGTGTATGTGTTATTTGTTCAGAAGGTAGACTGCTGTGCCTCTCGTGCTTTGACTTGGTTTTTCACTCAATAATAATGTTCTGGAGATCCAGTTATGCTTGTATATAGATAGTTACCTCTTTAAAAAAAAAAAATGTGTTTTTTTTTTTTGCCATAGGGCATGTGCACTCACTGGAGAGAGACAGAAACAGTGAGAGGGAAAGAAGTGAGAAATCACCCTCCAGGGGGATGGCCACACCACAATCCCTGCTCCTTCATTCTCCTCCTGGGATTTTGGGCATGCATGCACATGTGCCTGGTGTGAGTCTCAAGCCACAAGATCCAGGATTCAAACTGTAGTTGGCCATGTGAGAGTCCAGGGCCTTGACCAGTATGCCACCTGTTAGCCTCCACCTGTGGTTTTTAAAAGGCTCCATTTTGCTATAGTTCCTTAACTAGCCTCCTATTGATGAACGTATAGGTTGTTTTCAGTTTGCCTCTACTTTGAACAAAGCTTTATTCAGTAGGTGAGTGCACGGCTTTCTCTCTGGGGTGTGCAGTGAGGGGAATTGTTTTATATTTCAATGACTTGTGCCAAGTGGCCCATCTCAGGAGCTACCTCAGGTTACATTTGAGGCATGTCCTCAAGCCATTAGCAGCAAGCAGGTTAAGATGAAAATCACTGGGCAGTGATGGGATAAGACAGTGGGGACCGCGGAGAGGAGGAGCCTGGCTGCTGGGCTTAGATGGGAGGTAGGAAGAGAAGGCCAAGGGTGGGGGAGGCTGGCCACTGTGATTGTGCTGTTCCTGCCCCTTCCTCCTCCTGCCAATCCACTACCTGGATCTGCCAGAAGTCAACCCTACTTTCTCCAGTTTTCTTCTCTTAATCGCAAGATCTTTTTGATTGAAAACGGCTTTGCTTGTTGCTAAAGGCAGGGGCCTTAAAGAAACAGGCTGGAAGATGGGAGAGAAGAAGGGAGGCTGTGATCGAATCAGACTTTAAAGAATAATGAAATTAACTGTTTTTGTAAGGGCAGATGCTGATTGCCCCTGACATTGGATGCCTCATTGCTGGGACCTTGTAGTTCGGATGTTGAGTGGGGAGTGTCGAGTGGGAAGGGGGGGAATGTTGGGGGACTTTTGGTGGGGAATGTTGTGTGCTCTTGGCCTAAACCACTACTACTTGGTATCTGAGCTGTCATTGCTGGGACCTTGTAGTTCAGATGTTGAGTGGGGAGTGTCGAGTGGGAAGGGGGGGAATGTTGTGTGCTCTTGGCCTAGACCACTACTACTTGGTGTCTGAGCTGAGCCTGCTCTGAGCCACAGTCCTAACCTGAAGCTCCTTGAAGTGCAGGGTTTCTGTTATCTTGGGGAAAGGAAATACGATTTTTCAGAAGAGGGGTTTGCAACTGTGGTTCCCAGTTGCAGTGGCACTTTGGTAAAAATGGCTGAACAGGGTGAGAGGTCGCCCACACTCAAGGCTTCAGGTCTCACATCAGTGTCAAAGCGCTGCTTCCATTTTCCCTTGTTATCTCTTTCTCACTGGGAAGCCTCAAGAATGTTGGGTGTTTCTGGCATTTTCCGTGGTGGGTTTCCCCCATTCTATGGTGACAGAAGAGGAGGCGTTTTGTTATTGTTGATTTGTAAACCCATTTTACTCTTGGTGCATTCTTTGGCCCTCCTGGCTTCTGAAACCAGAGATGTGTGGGCTCCAGTGGGGCCTTAGCACATGTTCTTCTCATCTCCTGGCAAAGTGGCTGTGTCCAAGGAACAGGGCAGAGGGTTGCTGATGGGGTGCAGAATCCTCAGGGAGCTGCTGGGGTGTTAGCTGGGATCCTGTGGCTCTGCTCACCTCCTCGTCTTGTTACAGTCTTCATACTCTACTCTAATGACGGCCCTGGGCATGGGCATGGCAGTGACCTCAGCAGCTGCCCACTTACTGCACTACTCATGCCGAAGACCACAAAGTCAGGCCGGGAGGGAGGGGTGAAGTCGAATCTTGCCTCTTGCATAAGGTTGTACATTGGACAAACTAAAGCTCGATTGACACAGCTCTTCTGGAAGGATCTATTCTGTCACGCCAGGGGCCACGACACCTGATCTCTGGAAGACTGGAGGAGATGTCCCTCTTGCATAGGTAAGCAGACAGGTCTCTTCCCAGACACCTGCTCACCCCATAGATAGAATGCAGAGGAGCAGTTTCCCTTCCGGGAGCTACATGTAGACTCGCCCTCCAGGGCTACGTCCCAGCGCTTGGGACTGACCTTATTGGTTCCTGTGCACAGGGTCTCGATGAGCACAGACTCGTCTGTACCCAGACCCTTCATCGCCTTCTGCAGCTGCCGGGCGGCGTACTCGCTGGGGCGGTCCAGAAGGGCCAAGGCTGTCTTCTCGAAGTTTCCACTCAGCTCACCCTTGAGCACCTCCTCCAAGTCCTGTAGGAAGACAGCGAAAAACTTGAGTGGACATGGCCCTGGGGGAGAGGACCAGATATCTGCTTGTACTGCTGCACAGATTTGGGATCAATAAGAGACCAGCAACCTGCTCTAGAGGAGAGTGCGCCCCACGGCTGCCTGGCCGTCTCCCCCAGGACTGGCAGGGAAGAGAGCCCATGCTTGGGGTTGGAGACCCCAAAGATGGATCATGATAATAACAGCTTTTGCAGAACATTTTAGAGTTTAAAGAACTTTCTCAGAAGATTCTCAAGACAGCCCTGGGGAGCTGGCAGGAGAGGTCTGGCAATATCCCCACTTACTGAACATTAGAGATGAAAGGTTTGCTCCCAAATGTTGAGCTAGAAAGGACTGAACACGGGTCTATTATCTCTAGGGGGAAAGAGATAATTTGTCATCCAAACTGGGTTCCTTTGAAGGAAAAAGGGACCACTGTTAATTGCAGGGGATGGGGGAATAAGCAAGGACACTCTTGGGCAAAGTAGATAAATAGCCATTTCGGTTATCTTGTCAAATCCTGAAAGGGATGCACATGGGAAAAGTGCAGACAGGCAGAGGAGTGTGTGAAATTCTCCCTAGTGCTGTTTTTGGCAAACATTTTTCTTCTTTTTTTTTTTTTTTTTACGTGCCACAGGGTACTTGCACATGCATGTACACATGAGAGAGAGCACTCTCTGATGGGGCCTGGTCACACTGCAATGCTTTTCACTACATTTCTCAAGCCTCTGGATCCTTGGCAAGCATGCACGTGTGCATGCTTGGTGGGTTTTAAACTTCTGGGGTTAGGATTAGAACCATGGTTGATCATGTGGATCTGGCTCCCTCCACATAGCACTTAACCACTGCAATAGGGGGCCGAACTTGTCTTCATCTCTTCTTAGAGCACCTCTTATCACAAGAGAATTAACTGTCTTCGCCTGTCTATCCCCCTCTGAGGAGATGGTTTAATAAGGAAAAGGTCAAGAAGAGGCATTTGGTCTAATGAGAGTCACCAATATCTCAGCTTCAATGAATAATCTTCATGCGGAGTGACAGCTCAGCATCTCAAGGATCCAAACTACAGCCTGGGCTGGGCCTGGCCACTCAGTCACGGTAGCTTTGGGACCCTGGAAATGTACTTAATTTACCAACTATCTGTTTCCTTCTCTAAAAAAATAAAGCAAATATGGGACCAGCAGATGGCGTAATGGTTACATTGCTGGACTTCCATGCAGTCAATTGTAGTTCGAGTCCCAGACCCAGTAACTTAAAACTCACACAGGGCATGTGTGCATGTGTGCCTGAGTCCAAGGGGAGAATGGAAGAGAAGGAATTGGGGCCTGGCCATCTTTCCTGTGGGGCAATTTCTCACTTTCTGTCTCTATGGTGAACACTTGTGCCCTACAGCAAAAGATCTCTCTAAAAATAAATAAGAACAAAGCAAATAATATTTACCTCATAGGAGTGTTGAGAGAATTGGTTAAGATAATCCAGGTAAACACCAAACATGGAGCCTGGTACATTATAAATGCTCGGGACCAACAGTTAGCATAATGGCTATGTCGCTTGGCTCCCATGTAGTCAACCGTGGTTTGAGTCCCAGACCTGGTGGCTTAAACTCACGCTGGGTGCATGTGCGTATGTGCCCAAGATCCCAAGAGGAGAATGGAGAAGAGATTGCAGCGTGGCCAACCCCCCTGGGGGGTGATTTCTCACTTTCTGTCTTTCTGTCTCTGTCTTTCCGGCGAGCGCACACACCCTATAGCAAAAACCTCTCAAAATACATACATACATCCATAAATGCTCAAGAAGTGTTTATTATTATTATCTCATGCAAGTCAACGATCTCACAAATGAACTTGTAGGCTCTAGCCTTGAGAGAAAAAGTCCAGTTGTGTTGTTTTGAGACAGGCTCTTGATGTTATAATTCTCCTGCCTCAGCCTCCTAAGTTGCCAGGTCTACAGATGCCCACCCCCATACTCTGTCTTCAGTTGGATCTGGAACTGAACTCGAGCCTCCGCTGTGGTCCCAATCTGCAGAGCACAGCACCTTTACGGCTCATGTCTTCATGGCTGGCCCCATTGCCTACTCTTACAAGTCACAGGCATAAAACAAATCCTGTGTATTTCTACTGCATTTGAATAGAGAAGCGGGCTCAGCATACCTTGAAACTTATCCTTGGCACTGCCTGCTCATAGGCTATGTTTCCTTGGGATGATTATTCTCTTTGGAGCTCAAAGATGTGAGGACTTAGATGTGCTATCTCTAACATTTTCTAACTTTGGGTCGTTGGGAATTTAGATGACTTCTGTGGCCTTGTGGCTCTCTGAAACACAGCTGACAACTGGAATGTAAGTGAATGATGAGCAAATGAAGGTCTCATGAAGTTTTGCACTAGAATATGCCCACTTTATTTTACTTTTTCACTAAGGGCATGTGCACTTGCCAGAAAGAGACAGAGTGGCAGGGAGAGAAGAAAGCACCCCTCCCACGGGGAATGGTCACGCCACCATCCCTTCTCCTCCATCACTCTCTCCTTCTCAGGATTTTGGGCACACACACTAGTATGTTTCTCAAGCTGCCAGTCCAGTCTGAGATTTGAACCATGTAGTTGGCCATGTGGGACCTGCAGCCTCAACCGCCAGGCCAGAGCTGCATGCCCACTTTAATTTTAGCACAGCGCCTAGGCTCTTACTTTGAACCTATTTACTCTTCTTTCAGACTGTCTGAGAAGCCTTGTCTCTGACTTCCCACACTGGGAGAATGGAAGCAGATATGACTTGGGTGTTAGGCACACTGACAAGGATGACAATTCAGCTTCATTCAATTCAGTTCATATGATTTATTGAATACTATACTGAATGCAAAAAACATGGGTACCTGGCCAAAGTCTAAGTAGGGAAATCTGTTTCTTTCTCTGTCTCTATATCTACTTAGACCTATTGTGATTGAATCTGTGTATGTTTTATAAATATAGAATAAATGTATAATAATTGATATTCTCTTTGCATATTTGTAATTCTAATGACATTAAGGAAAGGTTAGGTGGGGCAAGCTGGTGGCATGGTGGTTAAGGCCCTGGACTCCCACGTGGCCAACTATGGTTCAAGTCCCGGGCCTGGTGGCTTGAAAACCATGGGGCATGTGTGTGTGCCCAGAATCCTACAAGGAAAATGAAGGAGACAGCATGACCATCCCCACTGATTTCTCACTTTCTCTCTCACTGACTCTCTCTGGCAAAAAAACTAAAAAAAAAAAAAAAAAAAAAAAGGTTAAGTTACACACATTACATATTAATAAAGAAACAAGAAAACCTAATCCATGTTTAACCATTTCCATAGATAAAAGTATCATCAACAAAAAGAATTTAAAAACAAGAGAGAAAGTATAAATAAAGAAAGAGGTATTGATGATTAAAGAAATGGAGGGTTTTTTTTTTTCCAATTTTCTGTAACAGTCACTTCAAGAATGTATTATTCTTGGAGGCCTTAATAAATAAAAATTTCATGTATAAGACCTACTGATTTTCAAATCACCAGCCTATCTTTAAGTTAGTATGTGGAATTAGTCCAAATTGAGCAGAAAAAATGACTATGAGTTTAATAGAAAAATAAAGACAATTTAAGAATAATGAGCTAAAGAGTATTGCTTTTATAGGCTATTAAGTTAATGAAGCAATTTCAGTTTTTCTGAAGTCAATTTAAGTTTTAAATTGTCTTTTCAGTTGTTCTCCTGGTTGAAGTCAGTAAAGCTATAAAGGTCTTCTCTGCTACCTTGAGAACATCAAGGCACAGCAGTCAAGGCCAGGTGTGTGTACGCACTGCCAAGGGCCCCGGGATCACCTTGCCGAATGTCGCCTTGTACTTCTGCTTGATTTGCTGCCTCTCATCCGATGTCCTGTTTGACAAGATTTCAATGATGGCTACTTCATCAGTTCCTAAGGTGCAGGAGAAAAAAAGACACTGTGAACAGGAAATATAACTAAGTCATGACTTAAGGGTTAAAGGAGATCAGAGACGGGACCAGCAGTTAGCGTAACGGCTATGTTGCTGGACTCCCATGTAGTCAACTGGTTCGTGTCCCGGATCCGGTGGCTTAAACTCACACCAGGCACGTGTATGTGCATGCCCAAGATCCCAAGGGGAGAATGGAGGAGAAGGGATTGCGGTGTGGCCATCTTCTCTGGGGGGTGATTTCTTGCTTTCTGTCTCTCTGTCTGTCTCTTTCTGGAGAATGCAGGCACCCTATAGCAAAAACCTCTCAAAAAAATAATAATAAATAAAGGAGATCAGAGGTTTCCAAAGCAGAACCAAATGGTTCTGCTTCTTTCTACTCATTCCAACAAATATCCATGGAGGCCTCATATAGCATGTGGCATGGTGCTTGGCACTTTGGTGGAAAGAAAATTAGCATGACCTGTTCCTTAATTTCATTTATTGAGAAATGAAAACTCAAGAGAGAAAAGGAAAGTGTGTCCACACAAGATATGTACACGAATGTTTCTACTAACTCAAAGGTAGAAACCACTCCAGTGCCTGTCAACTGATGAATGGATAACCAAAATGTGGTATATCCATTCAATGAGGTGTTATTTGGCTAGAAAATAGAACGAAGTGTTGATACATGTTACAACATGAGCGAATCTTGAACACTACATGACGTGAAAGAAGTCAATCACAAGACCACACGTGTAACTTCACTCACATGAAAGTGCAGAATAGGGAAACTGATAGAGGGAGAAAGTATATTAGTGACTTGGAGTGAATACCAACATGGAGTGATAGCTAAAGGGTTTGGAGCTTTTCCTTTGTCTCTTTTAATTGCCAGAGGATGTGTGTGCTTGCCAGAAGAGAGGGAGAGAGAGAAGAAAACACTCCTCAGTGGGCATGGTTACCCCACAATCTCATCTCCATTTCTCCATCTTGTTTAGATTTTCAATATCCATCTCTCAGCATCCTTGATCAGCCCTTCTTTCACTTGCTCTTTAAACTCATTTTCCAGTTCTTCTTTCTAGTTGTGGTCACTTCTATCCCAGAGGACCATTACCCTTTGGCTGATGAATCCTGGATGCCACCCCCCCCCCCCCACCCAGCCCTTTTCTTTCCGCTAGATTCAGTCCTTATTTCCAGCTACCTGGGACCATCTGCCCGTGGAACTTCAAAGACATTTCCATTTGCAGTGCTGCTAAAGCAGAAATCATTTGATCTAGCCTTCAATCCACTGCCTACCCAATTACTTGAGCTTAGTGAATAACATTACTTGGATTAGAAAATTCAGAGACATGCTTCAGGGCCCACGTTCTGTCCCTTTTATTTTCCCAAATCTCCAAAAGTTCCTATGAGACAGTCCTTTCATCTGCCTCTCTTTATTTGTGTCCCTCCTGCCTAATAGGCCCTAGTTGTTCATAGTCACGGTGCCTGGCTCTGCTCTCTGCCGTGCGTGCCCTACGCTGTCATTGGAATTATCAATGGGAGCATACACGACTCATCTCACTCCATAATTAAAGACTTTTAGTGATTTCCGATGTTTCTTAGGGTTAAAGCAGATCCATCTCTGCATTAGCAGACACAAGGCTCACTCACCTTGTCTTAACCACATTTATTAGTAGACCAAGTTCTGTTTTTATAAACCTTGATGAGTTAAACTTCTACTTCCTCTGTTCTTCCATAGCACTGTGTGTGGCTGTGGGCGTGTAAACTCCTTGCAGTGATTATATAAGACTGCATGGACTGACATCCTGGGCCTTGACCTGGGCCATAGGGAGTGATGTATATGGCTACAGAGCCACTTATTGCCACCTTGCCTGTGTTGGTGGGGTGTTGGGTCTATCTGGCCCACCAGATCTGTGCTTTCTGAGGTGGTAATATGCATACCATTCAAATGATAAAATATGATCTGGGGAGGTAGATATATGATTGTTTTTTATTTTAATAAGTATGTATTTATTTTAGTGCAAACTGGTTGATGTTTCATGAAGGAGCAGAGGCTGAAAATGAGTTAAAAGACAAATGCTAAGTCAATAGTACTCAGGATGAGAAAAAATCACAGGAGAGAATGGAATGATTGAGGTCTGTAAACCCTACTATGGGCTGTGAGCTCTTCAACGACAAGGTCAAAGCTTATTTGACTTTGAACCCCTTCCCACACTGGGTTCCCTGCATTTGCTATGGCTTCAGTTAGTATTTTCCAAATAAATACTTGTTGAATTTGTCTTACACTACTTTAACTCAAAGAAAGGTGCAGCTGAGATCCTGCATGGCCATCAAGCCTCTCTCGAGGATGTCTCAATGCCTTATGTGGATGGAAAACTCTTAGAAGGCATGGTCAACATCCTGGTCTTCAATTCTGTCCTCAGAACAGCCACCTCACTGAGGGTCATACATGGAGTTGAGGCTGAGTCATGTCATTGGCCTCACAATGTCTAAGGGAAGAGGCAAATATTTCACTATCAAGTTTGATTTATGTTTGAAGACTTCAGAGAGCCCAGGAGCCAGGCTGCATTGGAGGAAACAAGAAGGGCCTGCTTGACTGTAGGGTAAGGGTGATGTACACAGAAGGCTCGACATTTATCAGACTTACTGAATGTACCCACAAGGCTGCTGGGTGATGATGAGACTGCTTATCCCAAGGCTGGGAGAAGTTGCAACTAAAGTTCTTGATTCTTGTACAACAAAGAGCTGAAAAGTCTATGCCCTGTGCTAGTTCCCATGACTCCCATCCAGGTAGAACCAGCAGTTACTCAAGATTATTCCACATAGGAGAGGACCTTGGGGCTGTGATCTGGTTGGAGGGAGGAATAAGGGAGGCTAGGGGGCTGGCTTGAAGCTGCATTTGCATAGAACACACACTAATTTATTTTCTTGGTTTACATGCTTATTTGGGGGCACCTTCATTAGAGGCTGATGGAGAGTAAGAATGGGCTAAAGCCAGTTTCCTGACCCAGTGCCCGAGATATCAGCCAGATCTGCTGCTGTTAGAGAGCTGGGTGAAGGCAGCCAGCTGGTTATACAGTGGGGTTTGCAGTTTCCAGGAGAAGCACCTCTCTCAGTCTTCAAATACCTTCTCTACTGTTCCTATTATAGGTTCTAAGGTCCCCACTATTTGAATCACTTAAGCTAAGGCATTCTTTCTAGAAAGCACCTTTCAGAATCAGTATTACACTGAGTAACACATTAGCTTAGGCAGAGAATGACTCGGGGAGATGGACATTTTTCTAGCAGGGTTAGAAGCACATATGGCAGAGGGAGAAACATAACGTTTAGAGCCAGACAGAGTGTGGTTGGAATCTAGCTCTACCACATCCAGGTGAAAAGACTCTGGACTTATGTCAGACCTATGTTGTCCAAGACCATAGCAGATGTGGTGAGCTGCATTGGAAATGGGGCTAATTCAAATTGAGATGTGCTATGAGGGTACAGTACAGGTTGAATTTTGAAGACTTAGTATAGAGAAAGTGTACAGAGTATAAAATATCCCTTAATAATTTTTACATTACTTGTCAAAATGAAAATGTTTGGGGGTGAAATAAAATATATTATTAAATTTAATTTTACCTGTTTCTTTTGACTTTAAAAAAATATGGCATTTAGCAAATTTGAAATTGCATCTATGGTTTTTTTTGTATTGGGTTTCTGGAGAAGTCATGATATACTTTTCTGTTTTTCTATTGAAAAATGTGTCATAACTTTTCCAACAACCTATTATTTTTATGGAGCAATTTAGATCAAGAGCCTCACCTCACAGGCCCCAAGAGATGGAGGTTATATCAATACTGACTTCATTGAGAAGATGAGATATGGGGTTCTGAAAATCATCCAGATAGTAGTAAAGTTCTGTACCGATGTTGGCACTTCGTCCATCCCAGGCTCTGTAGCAGTGTGTACATTTCCACCAAAGGGGATATACTGGCAGAGTCTCTCATCTGATTTTCTTCTGTATACGGACTTTTGGGAGTACCCACTATTGTGGGTTAAATTTTGACCACCTAAAACGATATGTTGAAGTCCTAATTCCCAGTACTAGAGAATGTGATTTTATTTGAAAATAGAATCTTACGGAAGTAATCAAGGTTGCGTGAAGTCATTAAGGTGAGCCCTAATCTGAAATGACTGGTGTCCTCATTAGAAAGAGAAATTTGGACACAGTGGCAGATGAGCACACACAGGGGAGATGACATGAAGACACACAGGCAGAATAACATGTGAGGACAGAGGAGTGATTGCACCTGCAAGCCAAGGACTACCTGAGGCTGGAAGGGAGGTGTGGAACAGTTCCTTTCCTAACACCTTCAGAGGGAGCATAGTCCTCCCGATCCCTTGACTTTTGGACTTTTGGCCTCCAGAACTGTGAAACAATACATCTCTGCTGGTTTTCAGTTCTTTGTCATGGCAGCCCTAGGAAATTGATATCCCCAATATCCTTAACAATGTTTAAAACTTCAAGATGGGAAGCCAGCAGGTGGTGTGGTGGTTAAGGCGCTGGATCCCATATGGCCAATTCTATAGTTCAAGTCCTGGACCTGGCAGCTTAAAAACTGTGTATATGTGTGTACCAAAAATCCCAAAAGGAAAATGGAGGAGAAGGGAATATAGTGTGGCCATCCTCCTGGGAGGTTATTTCTTACTTTCTTCCCTCTCTCTCTGGTGAGTGCATGTGCCCAGTGGCAAAAATATAAAAACAAACAAACAAACTTCAAGACAGAAAGTAGAGAACCTTTGTTTAGGGCCCAAAGTCTAGAGATTCCTGCATTTGTCTGTTCCTGGTCCCACTCTCACTGCCTGCAGCTACACTGCACTTGGTAGATTTTGGATGGAATGAATGAGTTGAACCTCGATGAGACTGCTATCCAGCTGAGAAATCAGGGTCCTCAAGGAACCAGAGATGGGGCAGACAAATTGATACCTCTGGCCCATTGGTATGCGGAAGGGCTGAAGGGAGCTGGCTGGAGCTGGGAAAGGGAAGAGAAAGGAGTCCTGGCAAAAACTCGAAGAGTTTCACCCTTGCCTTGACTCTGGCACCAGCCCTCACAGCCATCTTTGAGTAGACAGGGACTTAGGAAAAGAAGCAAGACCTCAGGACAGAGAGCTGTGCTCCATTCCTGGAGTGGCCACCAGCTCTGTGTCCTTGGACTGTCCACTTAATAGCAAGGATTATTTCCTCTTTGCTTCTGGAAATGTTTAGCTGTTTGATTCCAGCTAGAGGAACAGAAAAGTCTAGGATGAGTTCACCTGCAAAAATGCACGAGTTAATTGCCTGCCTTGTTCTGGATTGGTTCCAACACTGTTATTTATGTTGCTCCTCTTCATTTCTTTCTGCAGCATCACCTACGTAATGTGTATCCGATTACTTTATGACATTGTTATGATTGTTGTTTTAAATTCTGAGTGTCAGAAACCTCACCTAAAAAGGGATTTCTTTCTCTCGTAATTGTCTTTCGATTCTGCCCCTTTCTTTACATTCAGGCTGTTCCAGTCCACATGCAGCGTCTCAGCATTTCAGGCCTGGATCCTGAATTGCCATCCCTAGAGGAGCCTCTCTGCCTCCAGGTGGCCCATTCACTGTATTGGGCCAGCCAGAAATCTGACTGGCCCCTGGTTCCTCCTTTTCTCTCATTGCTCATCCAGTTAGTCACTACCCAAGCCACTCCTCTCAGAGTCACCCATTCTCTCCACCTCATGTCCACTACCGTGCTCAGCAAAACTGCTGATACTGTTCACATGGGGAGTTCCTGCCTTCCCCTGGCCTCTTCCTGTGAGCAGTCACTGTCCCCAGATTGACTTTCCTGTAGTGAAGATGGGCCTGGTCACTCCTCTGCTTCAAAGCTTCCAACATAAGCCCCTTCAGCGGCAGAATAAAGTCTTAGCTCTTCTGTGGGGCACACGGGGCCTTCGGAGTAGCTCCTACTTGCCTCTCAAAGTCCTGTCCTCTGCTCATCCTCTCCCAGGCCCCCTTTCCATCCACTCAGTAAATGATTTGCAGGTCCTGGAACAAGCAACACTGCATTTCTCCCCACTGGGTCTTTTGCATGGGAAGGGAACACCCTCTGCCTGGTCCACCTTTCCTCACCTCCACCCCATTCGTCCTTCAGGACTCAACTCACCAGATGAACAGATGAGGCACCTTTCCTCCTGCATCTGTCCCTCCTATTGCTGGTTCTTCCTGTCTCTGCCATGACACCCTGCAAGTTCCATGGGTGCAGGGTGTTTTTCTCACTGCTCTATCTACACAGAAGGGTCTCAGTAGAAGCCTTGCTGAATGAGTGAATGCTTATGCACATGGATATACAAGTGAATGAATGATGTTTGCCCATTAGTAGGCCAGGACCCAGTCTTTGCATGGTGTAGGTTGCTTGTGCTCCTTAGCTGGGCCATAGGTAGAAAGAGCCAAGAGAAAATCCTCTCTACTCTGATACCATAAGTAAGTCATATCTGAATAATCAGGACAGTGGAGTTAATATTTTTAAAATAATGTTTTCCAGGCTTTTTTCTTCTTATAATGCTTTAAATAAAAAAGACAGAGAAAAAGGTGGTCCTGGGATGGGCCAGTCACGGCCTGGATCTGAAGTGGGGGGCATGAAAATGACTGCATTTTCCCTCTTGTCCTTTCAGTCCAGGTCTCAGGCTTATCCTGGGGCTGTTTCCACTTCCCGACTGAGAAGCGACTTGTGAAGGGTGACCTCACTCTACATTTCTCAATGTGTGTGTCATGTAACAATTTCCTGTAAATGCTTACAATGGTTGGAGACACAGGGGCCAGTCCCCAAAGGTTCTGGGAAAAACTTTGAAAAGAGCGAGAAAATAAGGAGCCTCAACTCCTGACTGTGCATTGGACTTTGTAGTCATTACACAGAAGGGTCAGACCAGAGAGATAAGCAGCCTCAGGGAGTGCTTGGGGGCCTCCTCGGTTTGGCTTCCCCAGCAATTTTCTGGGGTGTACTGAGCAGTATCGGTGGGGTTTCAGCAGG